GACCACTTACTGACCACTTACCGACCACTTACCAACCACTTACCAACCACTTACCGACCACTTACCGTCCACTTACCGACCACCTACCAACCACTAACTAACCACTTACCAACTACTTACCAACCACTTACCAACTACTTACCAACCACTTACCAACTACTTACCAACCACTTACCGACCACTTACCAGCCACTTATCAACCACTTACCGACCACTTACCGACCACTTACCAACCACCTACCAACCACTAACTAACCACTTACCAACTACTTACTAACCACTTACCAACCACTAACTAACCACTTACCGACCACTTACCAACCACTAACTAACCACTTACCAACCACTTACCAACCACTTACCAACTACTTACCATACAGTGAAGATTGTTCAGTATTAACAAATAAAAATACAAGCCAAATAGTGTGCAAACTACCCTGCTGGCAGAGTCTCCTTTTAGTTTCTCCCAAGCGAGAGAAAGAAAGGAGACTCTGCAGAAGTTGTATAGTTCTTTTGTAATGCTGCTATCCAAGAATCACGTGATGGCAGCCATGACTGGAGACACAACAATAGAGTCTTTTTAACCCTTGGAAACTGAATTCTTTCTCATGTAAATCAGATCAGACCAGATTCAATTGTTCCTTCCTCCTGTCATAGCCACCATCACATGATGGTGCAAAGCCTCTGCTACAATATCATTTGTATCAATGTTAAAAAATATATTACAATATTTTAACTTATTAGAGTGAAGGCATTTAATCTGTGAAATGAAACGTACTAGTCAACCTGCAATAGTCAAATAGGCACAAGAGAAAACAATGGAATTAGGGTCTACTAATGTGTATTAGTCTAATATCTATTGTACAGGTTTAATGACTTCACTCTAATTGACAGAAAGTACTAGGTATTCAGAATAAATAGCAAAGCTAATCAAGAATTGTCTTTGACAATGTAGCTGACTATACCTGCCAGCCCTTTTCAAATTTGAAATAGAGGTTTTGCACCATCACGTGTCCAATCCCATAATACAGCTTGGGCTGCCTGTGTGGTTAGATGGCAGAACAATAAAATCCCTTCACTCTTGGGATTTGAATTCTTTCTTGTATCATTTTCTGCCATCTAACTGCAATCACATGATGTGTGAAAACCGCAATAGAGATGCCACATTATGGTAAAACACTGCCACCAGTTTCCAGGTGCAACCTCCCCCCTTTTTGCTTGAAAAGCAGTCATCTTCTACATAACAAAGGTGGTTCTTTTTTCAAGATGGACGTCCTCTTAGTCTTGAGGAAGTATGGAAGAGTATTCCTGATGTATATCAGCTACGGTTGAAGGACGAACGTTGGACATTCTTAACTCAACAGGTTCGTGGAACGTCTTTTCAGCAGTCGTTAGGGTTTCCATGTAACCAATACTAATTATCATCCCTGCTGTTTTTGTTTCATGCAGGAACATCCAATCCTTGGAAAACCTTTTTTCCAACTCCATCCATGCCATACAGCAGACATGATGAAGAATATTGTCAATTGTGTTGAAAAAGAAGGGTAAGTACTTGAATAGACTGCTGTAACATACGCAAATGTTCACTTATGGGAAATACATTGAGGATTCAACTACTAATGATCTAAATGTGTGAAAATGTGATATCATTATATTGTTTCGTTGTGCTCCCCTGGGCCCGGTTTTGCAAAGCCTGGATAGCGCTATCTGGTGGATAAATCCTTATCCAGTGGATAAGTCGATGCTGTTATCCAATAAATTTATCCACTGGATAAGATTTATCCGTTGGATGGCACTATCCAGGCTTGGTACAACTGAGCACAGGTTTCTTTCGCTGGATAGCGATTTAGCAATTTAGAAAAAGAAAGTGAGATTCTGTCAGCAGACAATAGACCTCTTTACCTTGGGCATAATGTTTTCCTATTTCAGACCATGTGTCATTCCTTAAAGTATTAGGGACTTTAAGATTCGCAAAATCTGTGACGGCAATGTCTACCGGAAGTGTAAATTACAGCACTTTGGGTTTCGAGTCTGTTTAAGATCTGTCTTACCTGTGGATGAGTAGACCTTACTGACAATGTTTTGAATGAAATCTCCCATGAACAGAACCCCAAAGAGAAATTAATCACACTTCCGGTTGACGTCGCCATCACAGATTTTGAAGAAGACAAATTAATGAACATGCATGCATACAACTCGAAGAATCTTAATCTCAAGGGAATGGCACATGGTCTGAAATGGTAAGAAATTTAACCCAAGGTAGAGGTCTATTATCGTGCACAGTATCCTAAACTCTGTCTTCTTTCCAGTCAATTTTAATTTTCCCCACATTATGCTACTGGAATTTTTACAAGGAGAGGAAATTTGTTATATAATAACCTTAAAAGCAGCAGCAGGCTAAAGGTGCGATTACATGGAGCAATATTTTCACTGCAATTTTTTTCACAACACAAGTTGCACAGAGCATTGCAGCGTGTAACCTACAGTGCAATTTGAAAAATGTTGTGAGACAAGTTACAGGGCAATCATTGTGAAAAGTAGAATTTGTTTCTACTTTTGTCAACGATTGTGTCACCGTTGCACCGTGTCGACACTCTAGCAACTTGTATTGTTGCGACACAAGTTGCTGAGAAAATTGCTCCATGTAATATGTTTGGTTTTATTCACAACAGAAAGACAAACTACCTTGTAACTTGGTTGAGTAGTGTTGGCCCTGTTGTTGGACTTCATTTATCATTGGAATATGCCAAAAATACTCATTTGTAAAGGAATATAATGGTCAACTAGTTTTATGAGAATACTGCTGGCAGTACTGTAGCATTGGAGTCTAACCAAGCTTTTAGCAACGCAGTAAGACATTGTTATTCAACATTGAACAAACATGTTAGTTTATGCCAGAGAGGATAGAAAGCCTGGACAATACTCTTGGGACAGGGGATAGCCGAGGCTGGTGCTGGACATATGTGGTTAATCGTGGATATGATGTAAATAAAAAAGTCATGATTGTCACAGTCCATCATCTTGCCTAGGTAATAATGCAAAATCAAAAAATATAATTGAAGGAATGAATAAAGGAATGCAGGAAATGAGACACTATTAAATGCTGTGACATTATTTATTTATTAACCATTGCTTGCATATAACATTTTCATTTCCCATGCTCAAGCAAGGAGGTTCTTTAAATTCCAACAGATGATCTTGTTCATTGTCTGCCACAGTGGATACTGGAAAAAAAATTAGCAAAACATTAACAAAGTATCCAACCACATTATAAGACACCTTGGTATAATAGCATATTCATATATAGAGGGGAAACTACGATAAACTATCAAAGTTCTTTGGATTACATGGTACTACTAACTATGAAACACAACCTGACCAGTGCCCTATGAATTCTGAGAGGAATTTTACTTTTAATCTGAAAAGCTAGACCCCTTAAAGGCAAAATATCAAGAAGCTCAAAATAGGCATTGTTGTAGGTCAAATATGTAGTTCTGGAATCATCAATATTTTCTGAGATGAGGGGAAAATACCTAAGCTTAAATAGATGCTTTTTAAGTGTAGAGTGCACGCACTAAAACCATGAACATTAAATAGCACTAAGTAGTACTATTTCATACAGAATCCTTTGTTTTCTATTGTTTAATTATCACTATTTAGTGCTAAAAATTAGTATTTGTTTCACGGATTTAGTGTGAGCACTCTATACTAATAATATAAAATTATTCTTTGTGTACAGAAAGCCTGGGAGCTATGGCGTACAAGATGTTAATACCCTTCCGTAAAAGAATAAATGTGAGGATTTTTGGGGGGGATAAGTGCAGCATCAAACACTGGAAAGTGTGTGTCAACCTTTATGAAAGGTTTAACCTTACCTATCTTAATCTTCTTGCTTCTCTCTCAGACTCTAGAAGAGTAAGGATGTCTCCCTCACGTACAGGTCCTTTGACATTACGGATGATTGCTCTGTTAGTATCATCAATAAATTCAACTCGTACCTATAAAATAATAGCAACAAATGTATGTGAGCTATTATATATAGGACTAACAACCTGTGAAGCTGAGGTGTAACAAAAATACAAACACAAAAATTAATTGCTTTTACCGGCACATTTTACAGTTATTTAACAGGTGATCCAGTGAAAACTAATGCTTGAAGCACCTTTTTTGAATAATTCAAAAATGGTCCTTTAGCTAATTATTAGTCAGCTACCACTGTGTTCCTTGAGCGCAAACTGGTTTATACAGGGTTGGCCTTCTTTCAGTGTCCAAATTTCACAAATACCAAAGGTAAAGTAAAGAATGCACAACTTTAATACAAACACTTTGAAATTCAATGGACCTCCACCAGCATGCACAAATATTCAAAATAAATCACTGCTTTATAGAAAGTGTAGCAATTTCATCCTCTTAAAGTAAGAAAAGAATTGACCTAGCTGAACTCTGCAAACTTGATCATTAAAAAAATATTGATCTAAAATACTATATATATTATATCGTATATAAATAAGTGGCTACACATCTTTTTGTATTGATACTACAGTTATGCCAAAGAAATACTATATGACTCCTAATTTGCATATTCAGATGTTGGATATCCAAGCTATTTGACTAAAGTTTCTAGCGTATATTTTAAAATAATAACATACCTGAGTACACTGACCCTGAGAGCCTGTTCTTCCAAGGATTTTAGTAACCTAAAACAATCATTATAAAAGAGTTAGGCAACGAGGAATCTGAAAACTCACAAGATCACAGGAAAACCAACCCAGAATGTGTTCAAACGTCTCAAGACCAAATTCAAAAATACTACCACAAAATTAGAATATTTTTCTTCTTAGACGACACAGAATGTTGAAGGGTAGGTTTATTGTACTCGTTAACCCCAAATAAGTATTAAAGTGTTATCGGAAGTAGAAAAAAAGCTAAAATACCTTAGCGAGTTTCACTGGCTTATCCATGGTTCAAGATGGCGGACAAAAAAAGAGAACGACACCACGTGGTCGAGCGCATTTGATAACGGCCGCAATGTGTTCTGGGACTTTATGCGAAATGTGTGCATCTGTATTTTTTTGTGGGAAAAGGCGTAAACAAATCTTTCGGTAAAATTCAGAGGTTAAATTTTTTCACTTTTAAGTTTACAAAAACTATATCGTTTGCTATTGTGTTCACAACAGCCGTGGTACTCAAGTTGGCTTTCCAACCAAGGAATTCACTAATTTGATTTCCGCACCAATAGAAACCTGTCAATTTTTAAATACTGTCTATATAACGTTTGTTTTGGTTTAAATCTAAAAGCCCATGTTGCAAGGATATATCGTTCTTAAAGGAAGCAAACAAATTTATATCATTAAATTTATATCCATATTTCACAATTTTACTGTGAAACAATGTTCGCTCTTGTGAATATATTGAAGAGTAAGACTGGGAAGGAATGCCCAAAATAGCGCAATTCAACTGTCAATCGCCGAGTAATGCGACTGACACACGATCATGACTACGTTAGTTTGTTTACGCGAGGATAACTTAAGTTCTTCAAGAATCTAATAAATGACTGTTGCTGTTATCGCACGAGGGGTAAGATCTTATTGTATACCATTGATTGAGAATTACTGGTTTTAACATTTGGAGGAAAAATTTTTTTATGAAAGAGACTTTCTTGTGTTCGCATTGACCTTGCGACCGGAGGAAGTTACGTCACAAAAGAGGCGGAGCTTCTTTTATTCAAAGTTGATCGAGAGTGACAGTGAAATTGTTTAGACTGTTACGGATGAACCATCTGCCGTCATACAAAGACTCCTGATCGAAATGGAAAAACTTCAGCCATCTAAATCATTAATCTTTAATTTTCAGAGACTAACGAAGCTGAAGATTATAAATTTCATGGTTTTCAGTAGTGTTAATACCATCAGTTTATGTACATGTTCGTTACTGTCATATACACAGCGATATACGGGATGTGATTACCCAATTTTAACACGATCCACAGTATTCATTTGCCTGGAAGATTGAAATTAAAAAAATCACGAGATATCTATCTAAGGGAAAACATCAAAAAATATAAAAAATTGCTTGAAAAATTCAGCATTTTCAAACATCTGATATAGGGAATAGTACGAAAGGTTATTTTATCAATTCAATACAATAGGTTTTCCGACTTTAATCACCCTTTTATTTTACCATAAACACAAAACATCATTCAAAAAAAAACTATTATTTGGGAATATTTTTTGTTTCACAGCCACATGGACAAGGAATTTCCCTCGCTAATTAGTATTCAAAAGTGTACTCGTTTTGTGTGTTTAATTTTTCGTTTTGAGGAAATTTGACCTTTGAGGCAAAGTTACACAAACTGAAGGAATAATCTTCGCGCAAAATAGCAATTATAACTATCTTAGATTTTGTTTTACATAAAGAAAAAAATAGGAAACAATTCAGTATTTATGTTTGTATTTAGTTCAGGCATTAAATAAACTAGTTTATCGTGTACATCCGAAAACGCTACAATTTCGTGAGTCGGTAACTAGAGGAACGGAAAATTGGGAATGGAATAGAAGGACTTCGGAGCGCGCGGTGGTGGTAACGTTTTTTTTTCAACCTTTCCGATTCTTTTTTTTTTACTGAAAATATAAACCAATTGAAAATAGTTTGCTTCATGTCGTTAATAAACAAATATAAAATGCTTAAGATTTTTAGTAATATTTCTCGAGGATCCAGAGGAATTTTTCAAGAACTATTCATTCTGATATTCTTGTAATAATTGTTACCTGTCTTTCCTCACTTTTCGGAATAATCCTGCATGATCTAATGCCTGTAATTAACGAATAAAACAGCTTTTTAGAGGGCCACAGGTTTGTTAGTATATTGCTATTTAGTGCTACCCTCAGTAAATAAAGAGTTTACTTACTTTTTTTGTGTGCTCCGTTCAGTGATAAAGCACGCAGGAAGTGACGTAGTCAAAGCACAAGCCGTAGGCATGTGCTTTTCACACTTACTAAGTGCTGTGCTTTATCATTGAACAGAGCAAGGAAAAAGCTGTTTTATTTGTTTTAACATATAGTTACTAATTTTATTTTGGCACTGAATTTATTTGCGAAAAAAAGACGGTCGCAGGATCTAGCAGCACTCTTTGTGTGCGGACGGCGTCAGCACTGTGATCCGTTCACTAATAAAGTACAGTTTTCGACCAATCAGCGCGCGCGTACTATCCTACCATATAATAAATATAAGTCCCTGATAGTGGCAGTTCATTATAAAAAAAGGGCAATTCGGAATTTGACTTCCAAAGCCAGTTTCTTTATAAGGCGTTTTATGACGAGAGCCTATGTCAACGTACAAAGTCGATTTTCTTCGATTTTGGAGGAAATATAAAAATCGCCTATTCACCATTTACCTCTGTGGTGGTGCGGGGCTGTATTCCTATAGTCGCCCAAATGTGAGTTGAGTTTGTTTGTTCTGCTTCTGACTCCGATGGCCGGCTTTCCAGTTTTTCCTCCCTCCTCTCAAACCAACCCTAATTAATTCAAACTGGTTAAGCTGTGTTCCGTGTTCATACATAAACCGTATAGCGGCTGCCAGAAGCGCCTTCGCATTGCTTTCAGTTCGACCCAGCCGTTGAGCTGCGCCACTTGAATGTATTTGCGGTGGTGACTGAGATCCGACTAGCAATAAGCTCCGCTTGAAATGAAATGTGGTGTAATATCGGCATCAGAAGTGCACTGCAAAGTGCGGTTGTATTATTGCTGTCGATACGCAAATCAAGCTAAAATAAGGAGGATTTGTTAAGGGCGCAGACTGCAGCAACAACACGAGTGCAACTAAAATTGCAACTGTTTAGTGCGCAACAGGTTAAACGACTTTGTTACCGCCGTAGTTACCGCGCGCAACTTTAGATTGACAGACTTCCTCTCTAGATAACATGCACTGTTCTACCATAGGTAATATTAACTATGGTTCTACGGAGCCTGCGTAGCGGCGCCTTGGGGGGGAGGCATGTCGTACCGTGTACGTGCTGTAAATCAGTATCGCATGCATCAAGTGTTTTCCCCTCATATAAAAAACGCTCTATATAACCTTTGTGACGAAAGCGTTCGCCAAACGATACATTATTGATTTTCCTAATGAACAATTTTACAGAAACCTATATCAATTTATTTAAGACATCGAAAGTGCTTACCTCAATTTTCCAATATATCTCACTGTACTTTTTTCAGTAATGCGCATCTAAAAGTTTCATGATATAATTAGTTCGACCAGAAGTTCTGGTTCGACCCAACAACAACGAGAAAACACAGCAAACAAACATCAGCAAATCCATAAGAGGAACAATGGTGAAAATCTTGCAATTCAGATTGACCTTTTCATAATGAACTATGCCGCTCCGGTTTACTTGGTTACAGTGTCCTGCTTCCGCTTTGAATCCGAGGAAAACTGAAGACAATTCAACACTGAAATTCCAAAAAAATGTTTACTTATGCACGTAGAGGCTGAATAAACTTCTCATAAAGGAACTGATCAATATACTTTTTATAGCAAACTAAAACTAAGCTAAAATCCAAATCAGTATTGGAAGATATCAGAAGTCCATATAAACTAGCTTCCAACAATGATGAGAAGACGGCATCTTCCTTTTTGAAGGCTCACTTAATAAGCCATTTAATTGCTGCATTTTATATATAGAGAAAATGCAAACTGAAGTTTGCACATTTAATTCAAATGACATTAGAAATGTCGTAGACGTATAGTTATCATAGGATTTATATCTATAAAAGTTATTGTCTAGTATATTCAGACTGCATGAGTAGTTAGCATAGCCTACGCCACTTTCAGATTCACGTCCAGAAAAAACAATTAGCCATGAAGACCACTGTTATATTGTTTTCTTTAAACGAAAATGAGTATTTTTGTGTGCTTTTGAAACTGCTCATATGTTCCACACCGAAAAAGCCGAATTGTACTATTTTTTTTTTTTTCTTGCTCTAGTGCGTTAAAACAAAAACCAATCAACAATGGCTTCTCATTACTTTCTATTAATGTATTATCTAGATTAGTTTAAATCTAAAACTATTTATTCTTTTCCGAAACGATTTGTTTTGATGTCTGTATGTCATTCCACTAGAACAACTTTCTGTTTTCTTGTACCATTCCAAATTTTCCGTAAACGAGCGTGATGTTCACTGACAGCCAATCAGATGTGAACCCTTAATAATCGCCATAGTAACATAGCTGGGCCCAGTGCTGACTGAGCGGCGCAGTCTGGCCATGACGAACCGCGCGAAGTGACACATCGTTGACAGGCTCCACACAGCATGTACTCTAAAGGCAAAGCGAATACGGTCCCATCAGATGCCCAGGCAAGAGAAAAGTAAGCTTGGCTTGATTTGAAGTCCAAAACCAACCCTCAAATCGGAATCTACGGGTCCGAATATGGGGGTTTGCATATGAAAATCAAGAGTATTGATCGTGGATTTGACCGCTTGTTCATGGGCCGCCTCGCTCTTTGTGCTAGCGTACATGATCAACTTTATTCTCTAGTCCGGCTTTCGTCTCACTCTGTGGCTGTTTTGTTTTCGAAATAGGCTGGCATTGTACGTCTATGAATATCTTTTACATGTGGGAGCACAGAAAAGCGCACAGACTTTCTTAAACGAGGTAAAAATCCAAGAAAGACTTATGAATGTCCGTTGTAGAGCCTTCGATGTCTTTGAGGTCGTTCTACAAAGGGTTGTTCGGGCCTTTTTACAGCGACTGGAATTGGGTCTTACTACGGTATTCATGAAGTTTAAGTGGAGTATAAATTCTTCTTTTCCAGATTAGATGGGAAAAGAATATAACACTCGGGGAACCTCCAGGATTTTTACATTCGTGGTGGTGGTAAGTTGACTATGATGGCCAAGTCTTATGCGATGCCAGTTCTCAACTACACTTTCTCATTACATTTTGTGCCGTAGTAAATGAGAGGTAGTTGTTTAATGGCGGTTTATATGTATCGTGTACTCAGGTTATTGTACCACATACTCAAACTGGGCCCCAACATCACATATTAACCTTTATTTCAAGGTTAAAATAGAGCTGTTTTCGGATTTTCCCGCCCAAAATACGAGCCTTTTTAGTCATATTTCCTTCTTTACTTTCCTAGCGTTTTCTGGGATCTTTATTGTGCTGCACCTGAGAGAAGAGATAGCTGCGATCACTCAAGTGAAGCCAAGGCATTCCACGACTATGTGAGTCTAAATTGGGGGTCCTAGTTCAAATCACACTAGTTGTTTTATAATTTCTAATCTAGCATAGCCAGATCGATGGTCAAGAGTACATTTAGTTGTCACGCCAGTAGTGCTTAGCTGTTCATTGTTACAAAACTTCCACGTTTTACTCCAAACTTACGATCAAAAAGGTTATTTTCGTGCAAAAGTTGCTATTTAAGTCTCTTGGAAACTTTTTGATAGTTTTGAATAGAGGTTTCCAGCTCATTGGCCTGACTTTAGTGATCCGATAAAAACAAAAAAACTAGTTTTAATATATTCGTTGTTTCCGTCCAAATTATTCCATTATCAAAGGTTTTTTGTGACTTTGTGTTTTGCTATTTTATTTTTGTTTACTTCGGAATAATTTCTTTACTCGACTTTCGCCATCATGTTGGATATAAGAATAAATTGAAAAACCTCTTGTCCGTCTAGTTAAAACGAACCCTAGCCAAATGACAACAATTTCGAGTGAGTGTATTGTTCCTACGTTTATAGAAGACGTTTTCAAACTCGACTAAATCGAACCGCAAGTTTAAAGATTTCCCAGCTTAACCTTCGCTGGAATAGCTGGACAAGGTCCGAAATGATGTTTCCTTGTTTTGAATTAGTCATTCAATCTTGATTATGTTCTGAAACAGGTAGGCTAATGTTATTTTTGTCCAAGTAGCTCCCCCCATTACGGTAGACGGTGGGGTGTTAGGACTTGCGCGCTTTTGTGGTTTTTCACCACCAGTTATTCTACTACGATCCCAATAGTTTTGACTACAACTTACACAGTTTTATCACAAGTCACAGCCAAATAACACTGATCTCTTCTTATGTTTATGATTCAAACGGTTCGCGGGGAAATTGCTGAAGCAGAGAATACGGACTTTCTCAATATTTTCATCGATGTCTTAAGCGTCGTTCGTTCGCGTCTTGAATAAATTAGTTTCTAAGTCGAGAAATTTCAAATGAGGAGGTTAAGCAATACCAATCTGGTTGTTACTCTGGACGTTCCAGGGCTCTGGTTAGTTACCTTTTAGTAGGAACGGTTTATTTTTTCCTCTTTATAAGCGAAAAAGATTGATCTGGATCAGATATTTCCAACGACTAAATATCTGATTGGTATATTTCATGCACTAGCTTCTTTGTTGCTAGTTTGATAACCTGAAAATATAATTCCTTTGTAATTGAGATCTCAGTTTGAGGCTAGACAATTTTGGACGAAAATGAGGTTCCTTTAAGGTATTTATTAGGATAGTTCGTGAAAAAATTTCATCTCGATTTGATATGTCGAAAAAAAAAAATTCGAGTCCTGATCAAAACTAACAGGAAATTGCCTTATTTAGATCGAGGGAAGCCATTTTAAAGTCACTCTTGCCAAGGAACATTTTAAAAACATTGAAAATTTTCCTTTAGAATTCGTTTGAAATAATGCCCCGAAATTTTACGAAAAGACAAGATAATTTTCAAAACTTTGTAGTGTAAAACTACGATATCTGGGTGGGCTTGTTGTTTCTGAAAACCATCTCTTGACATGTAGGAAAATTTGCATTGACCAAAAATCTGAGTTGTGTAGCTGTATTTCAAATGCTAATCAAAGATCGCAGGTGTTGTATTATTCCTAGAGCATTTTGGGAAGCCATGTCAGTGTTTGTCTTTTGTTTTCTGGCCAATAAGAAAGTCACTTTCCATGTTTGTTGCGTTGTATTCACTGGCCTTGACTTATTCGGTGACAAGCAAGAGTAATCTATTTCCACGATCAGATTAAGACGATCAGTGCGTGAGTGATTTGTGCTGACCACTTCTTTCACTCATGTCTAGGTATAATAGGCATAATGTTGTAAGAAATGAACAGTTCTAGATTTTTACAAGGGCTTCAGTAAATAAAAACAACTCCATCAGGACAACTTACAAATTCTTATTCAAGAACTCCCATGACCTCTGTTTGGGTTTTAATTCCAAAATATTAAGTCCAAAATATGGTTTACCTCTGCCTTCACTTGTCATCAGTGAATCAGCATATTTTCTAAATGCTACAAGATTTTTGAATAACATTTAAAAAATTTCCCTTACTGTTTAATGTTTTAAACAAGGACATGTATGTCATATGTCATTATAGTTGTAAGAAGCAATATTACACTTAGTTTTGGAATCACAGCTTATTTTAGTTTTTCCAGGTTTGAATACATATGTTCTTTTAATGTTGTAGGGTTTTGTTTTCATGGTCCTTTGAATAAATCATGAATCTGTCTCCAAAAAGAACAAACTTCCCCAGACAATGTAAATACACACAATCTTGAATAATAATGATCCCAAGTGAAAAATCACTATTTTCCTTGCAAATTTCCCCTTTCTTTTTAATATTTTAAAAACTTTTCATCAGGTAATTCATCGAAAGTTTCAATTTTCTTTACGAATTTGTTTGTTTCAGCTTTTCTAGACATTGTTTCGTTTATGTGGTTTTTCTTCATTCTATAAATAGACCTTTTATTTCCACCTGTTCTGCATACATACATATGCATACATACTTTAACTGATTCTCATCACATAATCTCCAGAAGACAAGAATTTACTTTGCCTGTAGAATAAAATGTAGTTATTTTGAAGTAAATGGAGTTAAGTACCAAATATTCATACAATCACAACCTGTAGCTGGTGCTATTGAAAATTCAGAAGAAGTCTTCAATTTTATGATTCATAATCTTTAAAAAAGTGTGATTTTTATTTCAAAATTTTATTTTTTGATGAAAATATTTTGAATGTGTTTTACATGTCTTTTATATTATTTGGAGTTGAACCTAAAAAAGGCGATAATGATGGAGATTGATATGAAAGTTCAAAAGTAGTGAATCATGATAGTTGGGTTCGATGGTGTTTCTCAAACATCAATGATGTTATATACAAGGCAGACACTGCCAGGTTTCGCATGCCACTAAGTCTGATTAAAGCAGCTGTCAACTGCATATTTTAAGTTTTTTCCCAGATGCTTTATCCAACTTTATCTTTAAAGTTCTTCTAGCACTTCTTCTCGGACTATTAACAAGTTACCATTATTTTACTAGTTTCTTTCTTAAAAGATATTAAGTTTATATCAGATTTTACAAAAACTAAAAATACAAAGAACTGCACTATTGTAATTTCATTAAATCCCCTTTTTACATGAAACATTTATTAGTTCCTCGATTATTGAGAATTATTTAATGAAATTAGTATTAGATAATCGAAACTAAAGGTATTGTCAAGATTGGTGCCTTTAATTTAGTTTGAAGTCTTCCTCAAGGATTGGAACATATACCCACCTAATATGTAAATAGGTTGTGGGAGGAATATCAGGCATAGTCGTAGCTGAGAGTGAAGGGTGTCTAGACATTACAGTAAAACTGGGTTTTTCCTCACGACTGGTTTAATACTCTTGGGAGTAAATGTTTTGAAAAAGTGATCTTTTCTTTCTTTCTTTGAAACAATTTGATTCAAACATTTAAACATTTAATTTCTATTCAAAAGTTTCTCAAGAAATAAAAAACAATAATGTTCTAATTTTTTTTGTATAAATCTTGTTAGTTATGACAAATCCATCATAGCAACTTGCAGAAATCTTTTTATTTTTGTAAATCTTTGTTGCAAGTGAATTTAATTCAATTTGTATTTTACATTACTTATTCCTAAAATCTTACTTAGTTTCAGTCTTTAAATGTTTTTGAATTTGGAAAATTTCTTTCACACCTCATATAATTTTTAGCTTTTTCTTATGTCGCTTTGTAGAGGATAATAATTATTGTATACGTTTTATGGTGGAAGGGGTACTTAGTGTTAGTAGTTATAGTTTTCAAATGAGTGGGAAAAGATACCCAGAATTTGTAATCATAGCTTGATAAGTGTTGTATTAGGACATTTGCATTATGGAATCATTAACTACAACTACCAGAATGCCTTGCACACTTTCTTTTGTCAGTTAATTAGCACCATTTGTCTTATTGTTTTCATTAGGAAAATAAATTGGAATATTTTTGTATGACACCATCATGTGCACTCAAGCGGCCTGTTAAAGAAATTGCTGAAAGATATCGTTAAGCCATTTCAATTTACGACATGCCATACTATGTGCTATAAGTCAGAAGTATACATTTCAAACTCATGGAAAATGCTGCATAAGTAATATTTTTAAAATGGGGTTCCAAGTTGAAATTTTTAAAAATCTACATGGACTACATTTGAATTCAATAGTACTTGAATAAATATAAAAAAATAATTTGTGATTCAATTACTGTACACACCTAAAGTCTGCATTTTAATTAAGATAAAGAAAAAGAACAATATAGATACACCCTTTGAAAAAGAAACGAGTTTCAGATTATATAGTTATATTGTTAGGTTTTTGTGTTGGAGTATGTCTGATGATAATGTCTAACAGGGGCATATTTAGAGATTATTATCTCTTGTCTGAATGTGTGTGGAGTGCTTGATTTCAAGTACACCCAGAGACACACCTTATATCAATTCCCAGTGAAGCTTAATTTGTATTCTATATTAATAGAATACATTCCAATTTTAATTAGTGATCTCCAAAGTTAAAAAAAAGCATTGAGAATATATCATAAATGGTCTACCTTATTCCTACTAATTTTCGTGAAAGTAAAGACCAGCGGGAAAAAGTTTACGGGAAAAAAAAACACGCAAAGTTTAATACACTTCAATAATTGCTTGAATCAATAATTAACTGGATTATAGGTACAAAGGTACCTGTCAATCATTATTTAAATCATCATTCAATAAACATTTTCAAAATGGTTTGCTAAATCTGAATCTTTTGACAACTTTCGCAAAATTTAATGCCCTTAAATTTATTTTTCTGCTAAAAACGCAAAAATTAAAAATATATACATATATAATTATTATTTTACTTTGGATCTGGGAGATGCTAGTATCTGTGAAGAAAATATACACAAATAAATATGATGATAACTGCGAAGTTGATGTTGAAATTTCAAATTCTACCTAAAATTAATTGCAAAATATTAAAATATTAAATTGAGTTCAAATTTAGGAATAAGTTGAATAGGACAATTTAATGCATTTGCAATTCATTTATTTCCAAAGGAATACTTGTGCCATCTTCAAATACTTCCTGTACTATCAGAAGACTATAATAATTATAATATACATTTTTTCTGCTTAAGGATGTTTTCTGGCATTGTTTCTCACACAGCCCTTCTATGCATAAGTTTAGTGTGCGTAGCTCATCATGATGATGTCATTGAAATGTTTTGATAAGCCAAATATGAAGTCTAAAACATTTTTACTCAATCTTGCTTACAACAAAATCATCACTATTGACATTTAAAATAAGTTTTTTGTGATTTAGACAATAGACGTCAGAAAAGATTTTTTTACTCTTTGGGCTCCTAGACAACCATTTTCAATGAAAGAGCTCTTTCCATAGATAACCTTACAACCTATTTATCGTGTTGAAACAAGGTACACAGGAGAATAATTGAATAAAACTTGAAAATGATGAAGATTGCACTTCATTTACAGAAAAAAAATTTTCTAATGCTTTCTTAACCAAGACAACTGTGAGGCCCTACTAGTGGGATCCATGTTCTCTGTCTGAATTTCACAGTCATTGCCTATGTTGCAATTTTGGGAAGTTCTTTTGTCTCTTGTTGGAATTTACCCCTAATATTGATTATAACAGGGCCTCAGTGTTAGTAATATTCATTAGAGCTGTCTATCATTTGTCGCTAGTTTGTGGCTCTTGAGTAGCCTGAAAAAACAGACATCCTTTTGCTAATTTTTCAAAGATATGTTGCAAGAAGCCATTAAATTTTTTCTTCTATTTTGGAACTTTTCTCCTGTGTACCTTCTAAGTGTTTAATCATAAGTACTTTGTAGCTTTTGAAAATATAGGGCATGCATATTTTTTGGCACAGATTCTTAAGACCAAACCATGGGCTGTGGGGTCCAAATAAAAAGGCGCTTATTTAGAGCTCTTTCCATTGATCAGGTTATTCCGAACCTCCAGCAGGGTGCTGTCCCATCACCTGGATTTGCACAGATGACAAACGACGCTGGAGTTGGTGCAGCAGGAATGCAGGGAGGAATGCCAGGGTATTTTCCGGTAATGTATATCCATTATTGTCATACTATTATTAGAACTACTAGGACTTTTAAAAAATGCTGAATATCGGACAATGTCTGTCCAGAACTGGAACTTGTCCAGTTAAATCTTTGACTTGCTGGTCATTTTGACCAGTAACGTTTAGCCAGAAATGAGGTATGACTGAGCTAAAACTAATTTCGCCTTTGACCATGACCGGCGATTAACCAGCTGTTATTTTAAATCCCTGACTATCTTTTTGACCACTTTTTTAATTGTTACACACTGATCCAGACAAATTCATGAACTCATATTTTTTTAAACAATTTCAATTTTCAATTTTTAATTTCGTTAGACATTCAAGAAAGACGTTTATGCACCAAATTTCATAGGAATCAGTTGAATAACAGCTGAGATATAGCTGTTTTAATGTTTTAATTTATATTTTTTTTAGCAAATCACTGTTTTCAACTCGGTTCCTAAAGTTACTTACTGAGCTGAAAATAGAATGATTTCTTGATGAAAATTATATATTCAAACTGCCATATGTCAACTGATATTTAACCGATTCTCATAAAATCTAGTGTGTAAACATCTTTCTTGGTGTAATATTGACATTGGGATTTACTACTCTAGACCATCAATCAAAAGAATCAGTGAAGTACAGTTTGCATGTGGCAGAGCTAAACGTAATGGCTGTTCATGATTACTGGCCAAATTAGTTTTAGCTTGGTTAAATACCGAAGTTTTGGCTCAATCTTAGTGATTAACATTGATCGGCAAGGCAGAGATCCTGGTTGGACAATGACCAGCTGTTCTTTTTAGCACTATGTTCCTTAATCTACTCCAATGCTTTATTTGAAGGACTGTAGTATGGCAACTTTTGTCTCAATCAGTGTGTGCATAGCACAGTAAACAGTGTTAAAGGCAGTTGTTTTAATAATAGCCAAGTAGCAGGTACATGTAGGCTACATGGTTATAATGGGCACACTATTTGGCCCACAACCTTACAGAGAATGCTTTTCAGCGAAGGCCATTTCACCATAGCTATGGAAGACCTTGGTCAAATTCTTAAAAAATCACCATTTTCCTTGATTACAGATGTGTAATCTGAGCTAACAAACTAAAATAATCAACATTAATTATTTATTTTTTCAGTCGTCACAACCACAAGCATCGCCTCATCAACAACCACCCCCACAACACCAAACGCCACCTCAAGGATATATGCCTAATCAGGTAACATTGATTGTCAATAATAATACTAATAAAACTATGATAATTTGGGATCAAAAATCTCTCATATGTATCAATTATTTGCATCTTATAAACAAGTGCATAATATACCTAGCTTATTTATTTCATTCCTATGGGATGATTTCAAATTTTAAATTAAAGAAAACCTTTGGTAAAAATCTGTTCTTCCGTCTTTTTCACATTCATTTTCTTTTCAAGCATTACTGGTAAAATGAAAGAAATAATACGCAAGAGAATGACGTAAAATAGGAAAGGTGTAAAATGGTGATTGAGTTTGCTTCAACACAAGATTTAAGACTTATAATTCTCTTGGGTCTAACAAGGAAGCACCAATGTACTGACATATTTTGTTGCAAGAATATAAATGTTCTTCCTGTTAACCTAAGAATGGTATATTGTTGTTGGCTCCTTATATCAGTTTTAAATAAACCTTTAACGGCAAGGCTTATAGGACATAAGTGTTTCTATAATGATAATAATAATAATAGTTTATTTATCCACATAACGCCTAGGAGCATTTCACATACTTGTTTAAAATATGCACGTGCACTAGTCCTTAAGAAATATAAAACTAATATAAAATATAATATGATATATATATATATATACACCTAGTTGCAAGAAGGCTGCCACAGGAAGAAAGAACACCAGCAACCTATCTCGTATTGGGACATCTCTAGGGTTGTATCGTTGCTAGTGCTGAAGCGGATTTCCTATTACCACATTGTTTGGCAGGAATTAGAGCAAAAACTGGAACATGTGTTACAGATGATATTTTCGAAATATCAACTCTGGACCAGAAAATGAAAGTCATATTTCCTAGTACTTGTTGTTTTTAAATGTTCCACATGTTTTATGAGGAATAGTTTTTTAAATAGACTTTCCATGTTTGGTACGAAATAAATATTAACATCAGCTGCTGGTCCAGAAAAGGAAAGTTAATTTTTCCAGTAAAATATATTTGATATTAACCATATTTTCGGAGACTTGCTGTTACTTTAGACCTGCATTTACCGTGTACTGGTAGTTAAGAAACGGGTTTCGAGAATCAGAGAATGCTCTGGTAGATGAGCAAAATTCTCCAGCTAAAAAACTACTGTTTATAGCTAATTAGTTAAATTGTAAAATGCTTGCTCTCTGGCGGGTTCATGGACTTCTCCTATCATTCAAAAAATTATGAAGCCTCTGAGAAATGACTGAAGATCAGCAGACAAAAGTTTTGAATGGTCAATGTTATATTGAAAAAATACTTTCTTGGTCTTCCTGCTGAGATAGAACATCACATGTAGCAACTACTAATACTAATGTATTTAAAATTCTTATTTTACTAGACTCCTCAAGGTTATATGCCAAATCAGGTAAGAATCTTGTCCTTGCCCCCCCCCCCCCCCCCCCCCCCCCCCCCCCCTAATAAATCGTTATGCTGTAATGCTCATCACATTAATACACCATCAAGTCTGAAATCAACAAAAAGGAACAAAAAAAGTCAAATTCATAGTGCTAATTAATAAGCTAAAGAGTGATAAATGTGAAGCTAAACAACCTGCAGCAGAGTGGTGTTCTGAAGTCTAAGGTGATTTGATTTCCTCAAGACTTGTGGAATCAGCTAATAGCTTGCTTGATGCAACATTTCCAATTTTCATTTCCTCACACCTTTACTCAATGACAAACAAAGTAAGACACCTGAGAAAATCATTAATACAATACAAGTCATTTATTTATCTAACATTTTTTTGAAACATAACACTTGGTTGGTGGGGGTGGCTTGGGAAAGTATTTCATTTTGAACAAGATGAGACAAAATCATTTGACCTGAACTTGATTCTTTTATTCATCAAGTTCAACCTTGATTTTAAACCATTGCAAGTTACATGATTAGTCAAGGGAATTCTTAAAAGGTCTAATCGAGCTGATGACCAAATGGTGGCTCTTCAAAAAATAATGCCATGCTCTAAGCAACCCCCTTTCTAGATTTATAAGGCCTATTCCAGATTCCAGATTGCTTAGTATTAATAGTTGTGCAATGATTTCAGCCACCATACATGTCAAGATATGCAGGAGGAAGAGCTCCTAATGTCAGAATGCCTGGACAGGTAAGACAAATCACCTTGGGGGAAGGGAGGGGATTACTAGTTACTAGTCACCCCCCTTTGGAGTTGAAAAATAATAAGAATAAAGATAAAGTAATACCTAAAAAGGATGCTATGGGATGCCTTTCTAGGTAACATTCACCCCCCTTGAAATTGTTCTGGATTCGACACTGCTTGTTACTTGCTGTACATTTACCAGCAAGGGTTATTATTTTATTAATGGCTATCAAGGGTGGTTCAGTAATTGTGAGTTCTTTGCACCTCTGGGCTACATGATGGATATTTTGGTCTTGGTATCATGTACAAGTCAAGGTTCTTATTTGGTCTCTGTTTGATATGAAGATTTTGGTTTATACATAGGATAAATCTCACTGTCCAAAACCAATAATGCTTGGTTTTATATTAATACTGTTGATCTAAGTTGGATGCATTTGATTTAAGGGATTGTGGGTTGGTGTAGGGTAGATCTGTGCTGATCTAAGTCAGGGTAAAGCTAACTCAGAGACTTATTTGAGATTTAGTGTTGGGATAATGGAATAATGGAAGAAGAAAAAAAACTTAAAAACCTCAAATCAAGGGAGAGACCAAACAAACTCTATTCATATGCAGAGTCCAGGAATCGAACCTGAGACCCCAGAGAGGAGAGGCAAGTGCACTGCCACTGTATCACCCTTGAATCCCTAACAACTAGTTTATTAATGAAATGAGAAGAGGCTTTATGTGTTTAAATGGCAATAGGACGCTTGCATCATGGCGTTAATTTGACTCCCAAGATGCTTGCCAAATTTTCTTTCTTATTCAAATTTGTATTTTCTCATGAGAATAGTAAAACAATTGGTGCTAATTAACTGAACAAAAGAAAGTGTGCAAGGGAGTCTGGTAATAAGAGTCAATTGACGCCATCATGCAATCTTCCAATATATTCACCTTCTATGTTAATTATTCACAAGTAATCACATGGATTTGAAGGATTAATGTTGTTTTTTGTTTTCATTCAGTCATTCATTCATTCATTCAATATTTTTCATGATTTGAATAATTTCTACTTAAGAGAATGTATTTCAATTTATATTCAACCCCATGTGATTACTTGTAGAAAAAAAAACATTATTATCTATACTCTGTTTGTCGACCAGACCTCAACTTCTTCTCCTTCCTTCTTTTTCTTCTTGCTGTCTTTCATTCTTTCCTTCCCACTTCTCTTTTTCTATTTATAATTTTCATAAAATTCTTTCATTGAAATGATTTGAAAATATTTGGTATTTTCCATCAAAATCTTCTGATTTTATATATTTTTTGTTTTTGTTCATTGAATTCAAAGAAATTTCAAAGTTTGTACGATACTATGTAATTCATACCCAATACTGATATACAAGATTTTATTGTAAGTTTTGTATTTCTTTTAAATGTTTGTACCATTACCAACAACAAAAAACACATTTCAAAACAGTCAAAAATATAATAGGTTCTAATTGATTGACAAGCTGACTTGGTTTTTGGACATTCTAAAGAACGTTTTTGCCAGTCTATTTAAGTATTCTTTTGTTGTTGTTTTTTAAGTGACATTTCAAGTAATTTCTTTTGACAATGCCTCATTGATTATGGCCAATTTTTTCAATAAACACAGTATATTATTTAAAGCATTTTCGTACCAATAATTTCCAGTGCTGATACGTGTATCACATTTGTATAAGATTAATCTGATATAACATTGATCAATTTGCAAAATCCCAAAATTGCTCAAAAATTATAATGTTAAGAAAGTTTTTTAAAACAATTGGCAGCCATATTTTCTATCAAACAGTACTCTACTCTACTCTTACCTCAGGGTCTTCAAGTGGTCTGGTCGAATGACAACAAAGGGCTTGCTATTAATGGTGATGGTATTCCCCTACAGCCCCCTGGTGGTGTATCAGGAGTTCCAGGTGCACAGCCTCTATTGCCGAATACAATGGATCCTACACGACAACAAAGCCCATATCAAGGTAATGATGTAATACAGTGAATAAAGAACCTGTATTGTCACGAGTAATCTATCTGGACAAGTATCTCTCACCAACTACACATTTCTTTTTATACAACCTCTTTGCATATTTAGCATATAATTACATTGTCCCATGGAAGACGCGGATAGGTAAAACATTGAATACACAAATAACAATCAATATTCTTTCACCAAACTGCTTAATAGCTTCATGACATGTATAAAGAACCTTAAATTAGTTCATATGTTATAATTTTAAATTTTATATATGTTGTGGTCTCCCTGGATGAGCCCTTATGGCTCTTGAAGTAAACAATTAGAAAATATAATTATGGTTAATTTTAAAAAAATTGTTAAAATCCAAAACATCACATCTGATGATTGTGATGATGATGATTGTGATGAGGATGATGATAGATAGATAGGTAGCTTTATTACAAAAACATCGCAGTCATAATATGCTGAATTATGTTTCTATACAATAAAAGGGGATATATGTAATAAATAGTAAATTGAATATAATTAATACTATAAACTAATTTGCTATATATAAAACTATGTATATGTAAAAAATTAATTTGATGATGATGATGAGGATAATCATGATGATGATCATGATAAAGTCTATAAGGATGATCACATGATGATAATACCTTTTGGTGATGGCAGTGTTGTCAATGATAGTGGTGGTGGTCATGGTGATGATGACGACAATTGCCTTGATAAAGTTGATGATGGATGAAGTTTGTTGATGATGGTAGTGTTCCATGTTAAGCAGTGCCTAATAATGGTTGTGATGCTGATGATACATCATGATAATGATTGTTGATGATCAAAGAGCTTGAGCATTACTTCTTATTTCATCAAGCAATATGCTATCAATGTGTGCTATATGTTGCAAACTACTTAATCCATACATATAAAATTTAAATTTCATTTTGTACTATTAATGAATGAGTAAATTTATTACAAGTGTACAATATTTCATATTAATTATCTCTGTGTTGTACTGTTCCATGTGTTGTGGTCTTGAACTTGTTTGGGTCGTTCTGCATGATTTTATATAATTACATAATTATTTGTTATAGACCATCTTTTACCTAATTCGTGTATAAATCACTCATGCATTTGGACTAATTCATTCATTTAGTTGTCAGGTATTTAGACCAGTAACCAGACAGGAAGGCAGTCGTTCAGTCAGTTGAAGATATGAAGTTGTCTTCAAGTTGTGAAATATTTTTAATAATTATCTTCAAGCCAACATGTAATTTTATTTTATCGCCACATCCACAAACAAAAACTTGTTACAAAGCCTTTAAAGTGAGTGGAAAAACAAGATCCAAATTTAGTTTGTATGAAAAATATAGTTGGCGTATTTCCCAATAAAGCACTAGTATCTAAATAATGAAATAACCTATTTGTTTGGCATAAAAAAAGGCTTCTTCCACATGAATTTAAATAAATTTATTCACCTTCTTTAAACTCATTCATGTATAAATCACTCATATCTTTTCATTGATTCATTTAGTCATCTCGGTTATAGACCAGTAACCAGACAGGAAGGCCATCATTCAGTCAGTCAGGCACTTTATCAGTTTATTAGTTACCAGTCAGTAGTCAGTTGGTATACGTAAGGTGACATACCAAATTGAAAAACATTGTCGGCTTGGAAAGGTTAAATAATTGAAGTTAAGACTGAAGGGTGTTCTGGGTAGTTGATATCCTGGGCATTCAAAGAGTGTTAGCATACAGACACATGTATATGGACACTGGCAAAATGCCTTTTTCAGTAAGTTAAATCTATGTTGTAGAGCTGCAAAACTGCAAACTTTACCCTGAAACACTTTAGTCTTACATGATATTGAACCTTTTCAATGCTACAAAGTTTTTTCCATTTACAAGATTGTCTAGTTTAGCAGGGCAGCATGCTTATCTTTTTGAATTCAGTAGTTCAAATTGCAAAATGTTCATATTTTTCATAATTGTTTCTAATTGTTCTAACACAGGTCAACCAATGCAAGGTCCCATGTCAAGAATGAACCACCCTAGAGTCCCAATACAAGCGGTAAGTTCAAAACTTTCTTAGGTATCTCATCACTCCCCTCCCCCCTACTTTCTCCCTTTAGTGTAAAGGTGTCACTTTTTTAATCTTTTAATGAATGAACTTAGAACCTACCTGGAATTGATAATTTCTGGAACTAAACATTTTGTGGAAGTTCAGAAGAGAGTAACCTTCTATAATAATTTTGTTTGAGTAGAAATGGTTATAAACTTTTGTTCGTTTAAAGTCAGTGAAATGTTGAATTTGGTTAAGGAAAAGTCAGGGGAAAATCAGGGAGTTTTGTTTTTGTTTTTGATTTTTTGTTTGTTTGTTTGTTTGTTTTTTTAAAGAGTGACATGTTCCATAGCAGTGAAAGATGTCATTTGTTTTAAAAATCTGATTTATAACCTTTATTAATTTTTCCAGAATTATGGTGGCATGAGACCGCCTAATAATGCAGTAGCTCCAGGCGTCAACATGCCTATGTAAGTACCGTGTCTAAAAGAACATAACATGTCTATTACCAACAATTAATTTTATAGCCTGAATAATTTATCATTTATAACTAGCTAACTGAACTGATAGGAAAATATCAGAGTACCTGACCGGAATGAACTCAGTAAATGAGTGTTGATCATGGTGTATGAGTCTTTCCTGTAGCTTAGTGGTTAGAACATCCATCTGGTATCTGGAAGGTCATGGGTTTCATTGCTATCAGGGAATCTTTTTCCTGAGTTCCTTGCATCTAGTGACAAATGATAAATTATTTCTGGTATTTTCCTCGGTATTAATATTAGATTTCTTACTCAATTTCTTATAAATATTTAAAGCTTGTATTTGTCATATATGTATGTATTCACAACCCTAATTTTTTATGTTGTCAAAATAAAGATCATCTATCTATCTATTTATATGCTTACTTACTAGATAATAAATAAATTTCATCATATAATCCATTTTAGTTGAGTTTTAGATCTGGATTCTCTTCTCTGTGTTTTGATTTTGCTTTTGTTGTTGTTTTCAGGGGCAATCGACCTTGGAATCCAACTACTTCGGTGAGTATACTCATGTAAACAAATCATTGAGCCTTTACTTGCAGTTCTAGATAAATTAATACTGGAATTATGTGATTTGTTTTATGATAGGTATCTGGTCCTCCAGGGACACCAATAATGCCAAGTCCTCAGGGTAAGTACTTTTACACTAAAGCACCACCTTCTAAATCAGTCAGATCAGTCAGGCTCCATTTCAAGGGACGAGGCCTCTGAAGGTTCAGGGCCGCACAAGAAATCATGTTAAGGCACTGTAATTGAAAACACCACACCTACTTACAGAGAAGAATTGGGATCATTATATATTCACAATAACACACGCTCTTATTGGTTTATTAGTCTCCGTTAACATGCATCCAAAAATCAATGGTGCACCCCACCTGACAAGATTTAGTAATTTGCTCTATGTATTTAAGATAAAGCTTTTGTTAGAACAAAATTTGAATTAATTTCGATTAACAAAGATTTTTTATGGTTTTGCTGTGTTATAAATGCATTGATCATCAATAATCATGCTTCCATCAAGTTTTGGGTGCACTTGGTCAGTTAATTGCTTAAGCATTCAAGAAACTAGAGTCACACTCGACTATGCCTCAAGCAACTCTTATGCTTCCTTCATGCTTAGTAACCTGCATGCATCCAAAACTCTATGGAAGCATGCTTATCAATGACCAACCCTTTAATATAAAGGATGGATTTGGATCTGAAGAGTGTGTGGCAGTAATTCATATTGAACTTGAAGTGGATAGAAGGCCGAATTCAACTATATTTCAATATACAAACATTAGCACTTATATATCATAATAAATATGTTCATTGTATTAAAATTGTTACTTTTCCCTAGATACAGCAAGTTCAGGAAGTGAATCCATGTATGCAATGATGAAATCCGTACCAGGGGGAAACATGCCAGGGGTAAGAAATACTACTAATATACTTCATTAATATGTCACATTAACATGTGACGTAATTTGATTTGCTTGAATGTTATTTACAGTGTGACTACTATAACTGGTGTGCCTTAGACAGGGAGAACCAATTAAATTGTAGAATAAAAACAATACATTCCAACTTTGGGTATTGGAGCCAATTAAAATGCAGCAGAAAACGATGACTTTCAACTTATCTTTTTATTCCCACGAAAATGAAGATGGCATCTAGTTTTTTTACGTCTGCGTCAAATAACAATTTCCAGGGTTCTGATTGGCTCAACTAACCAAAATTGGAATGCATCGTTTTCATTCTACTTTTCAATTGGTTCTCTTGTCTAACTGGTCTAAGTGGCCCTGGTTACAGTCCTTGCGCTGAAAATTGCTGACCAGAAATCTACTGGACAATTCAATAAAGCACATTAACCATACTAACATTACAATGGCAATATCTATAAATGTCATGTTCACCTGTTCACCTATAAACTGCCTGAAATAAGAGCTATCATAGAATAAAGATATTGCTAAGTATCATGATTCTCCAATAAATTTGTTCAAGAGAGAGCTGCCAATATAAATCTGTATTGGCAGCTCAAAATCGCAATAAATTATAATTACTGGAAGTGTAATAGGATTAGTAGTGAGGGGAGGGTACGTAGAGCCTACATAGCAAGCAGTTGATGTAATGTATTTATAAAAATGCAATGAATCACACCTAATACAATAGATTTTCTTAATACCTTACATCAACTGAATGCTATGTTGGTTCTACCCATTTTGATTAGATAGTCAAAATCTGCACTCTGATTGGTTCATTTGGTTGACAGTCATAGAGTGGTAACATTTACGATTTGACATGACATTGGCTAATCTTTTTGGTACAATCCAGGTCATTTTGATCTGCCTATATATACATAACAACCCAGATCAAAAACCCAGTAATTGCTATGGCAATAAAGTAGTTTTTGGTGACATTGATTTATGTTTACAAAGTGATGGATTGTTTACTTCTATTCATTTTTAGTATGGAATGAGTGGGGGTCCAGAACCTCCGATGCCGATGGGAGGACAAGAGCCGTCATTAGTTATGAACGGTGAGTGTCATTAACCTACTGGACGACACTATGATATCACAAAGCCTTCTTTTTATCATTTCTTATATGAAGAACCACATATCAAAGCTAAGAAGTAAAGAATTGTATGGGAATTTTAGAGCATGGTTTAAATTAAAGGGCTTACAATATCAATTAGTTTAGCACAGTCATACCTTAATGTTACTGGTCAAATTTGACCAGACAAGTTCCAATTCTGCCTGGACATTTTTCAATGGCCAGCCAATATTTTAAGCCCCAATATTAAGGGGATAAAAATATAATAATCAATGATCCCTTAGAGATTTATCTTGTTTTACCTTATAAAATATTGAGGAAAATCAGTAGCAGCCGAAATCCTGTGATAAGGGTCTAACATGACACCAGTTACGCAAGGGAACAGATAGAGGATTATAGACTAGGAGGAATAGCAAGATAGGTGGATGAAATGCATAATTCATACTATTGTTATTTCAGCATACTTAGTCCAGGGCCATAGCCACCATTTGGACAGTGTTCCAATTTTTAGAGAACATGATCTGGTCTTTAAATTTACTTTACTGTATAATAAAGGAGAAAAAGATTCCGTCGATAAGAGGGGTCTGCTTAAAACCAGACCGACTGTACTGATGGCTACGGCTCTGTAGTTACTAGATCAACTTTGACCATAATAAGTGGGAGGCTTATGCCCTTCAATTTTCTAGCCCTTATATATACTTGTATGGTTTAGATCTGTCTTGATGTGAAAAACCAAACCAAAAGTGGAATGGAATCAACTTGACGACTGCTATGATCACTGTATCATTCAAATCACTATCACAACTACCCTCCAAATATAGTTTCTACATTCATTAGTATTATTTTAAATTTCATTTTTTTAAATGTTATCATTCATTCCCTGTTGCTTTACTGAATTTAATCCAAAAGCTTGTGTAAACCAACATGGAAGAATCATGCATTTTCCTTACAATATATTAATAGACCTCTTTACCTTGGGCGAAATGTTTTCCCATTTAAAACCCCTGTCATTCCCTGGAGTATCATTTCTTTGTTTAACGGTTGCACACGAGGAGAAACATGAATATGGATACAACTCAGACAAAGAATCTTATTTTGAAGAGTGACACATGGTCTGAAATTGGAAAACATTACACCCAAGGTAAAGAGATCTATAAGATTTATAGGAACCGATTTATATAGTGCATGTATCTCCAAGTTCAAGGTGCTTTACAGCATAATATATTGAGGAAATATATATATATATATTACCTATTATATACATATAATAAAAATATTATAGCAAAATGAAATGTAAAAGAAATGTACTAAGTAGTTAAATTCGATAATTTCCACAATAAAGATAACAATTCATTAAAATAAACTGATTGAATGAATGAGTTTTGATTTCTCTTTTGAATGCATCAACAGGAATACATTGTCTTAATGTCAATGGCAGGTTATTCCACAGTTTGGGGGCTGATGTTTTTCACACAAACTGTGACGTGACACCCTTATTAATGACAGCTGATGTATTTATTTACCTATGGAGAGAGAACAGAACACTAACTCGTATGCCCAAGGGTATATCATTCTCAAACTTTTCTTCCAGGGGAAGAATGACTGTTATAATTATGTTAAAACTGGATCAAACACTACTAAACACAATAGAAATGATCACTATCTTTCTTAAAAGAAAATGAGAAAACATTTGAGTTTGAAATAATGCCGAAGTTGAATAATTAATACTGTAACCTTTTGACATTTGTTGTATAGTTCTAATGTTGAAGGATAAACAATCAGATTGTTATGTCTTGCGTAAGCTAAACATGTGTGTTTTCACTTCACTGTTTTTACTTATTCATCTCGTTCTCTTTTTGTTTAGATTCTAATCCTGGAGATATGGATGGTTTGTCAAAGGTATAATTATTTATTCATTCATTCATCCATTTATGTTTAATCTCTTTGTAACCATTATGACTTGAATTTTAATCTCATTCTTCTTGTTTAGTCTTGTAGATATGTTAATTCAAATTTTGATCAGACTTTCATAAACCAGTCAACTGAGTGTTTTTGTTGACCTATATATCTGTACATAATATTGAGGTGTCCATAATATAGAGGTGTCTTAATATAGAGGTGTTGCCATAATATAGAGGTGTTGCCATAATATAGAGGTGTCCATAATATAGAGGTGTCCACAATCAAGGGTGGATCCAGCCAAAATTTTAGGGGGGGCTAATTGAGTTTCTTCCATCGACACAATGGAAAACAATATAAAAAAGCATTGTTTTTTCTGCTGAAGGGGGGCTTCAGCCCCCCTTTGCCCCTCCCCCCTGGATCCGCCCTTGATAATAGAGGGATGTCAATAATATGGAGGTGTCCATAATATAGAGGTGTCTTTAATATAGAGCTCAGGTCTATGCATCAAAAAAAGAGGATTGGTGATTTTGCCAGGACCTAAATAATCTTTTTTTTCTTTGCACTTGGCTTCGATCCTTTTTCTCTTTTAAATGCTCTTAATTCCATTTTAGATTTGATCACCAACAAATATTTTAGTGAAATGTGGTATTAGATGAAGTTAATGCAAATGGCTTTTAATAGTCTCTCAGGAAAAAAATTTTTACCTTAGTTTCTTCTAATGACTTCAAATGTTTCATGATAGTATTATTATAATAACAAACCAAACCTATTACTGACTTACTTTGACCAAGGGAATTTCTTTAATTTCAAAAATGTTAGGAAAAAATCTTTAAATTAAAAAATATATATGAAATACTGATATTTTTCAATTTGATTTTTCCATTCATTTCCATAATTAGGAAACTAGAATAATGGTAATTGATCAGGTTTTTGACTTCTGTCATTCCAGACATCTTTCAAGACAAATTTAAATTTGACTTGCATTGACAGACATTTGGTGTTTTAGCTGGTTGCACCATAAAAAAATCCCCTTTGCATACTCTTCTCCAACTTCTCCCCACCCCCTCCCCATGAAAGTCCATTCCCCCCATGGAGGGGACAGGAATATTTCTTACTGCAAACTTCTAGTATCTTCATTCTCATGTTTTTCTCGCATTTCTTATGAAGGATGCATCTAATGATCATCAGCCTGGTACACCCAGAGAAGACGGGTCAGAGTTCGGTTCATTACTGCCGTTTTCCCAGGATAGTGTAAGTAAAAACTGACAACTAATAATATTTATTTATTTCGTTCATTAATTCATAGACATTTTCCAATAACCAGATATCCTATTTTCTCAATTGCACTCACTCTTGAGATATCGATAAGCACTTGAAGATAAATTCTGTGTAATCTGTTTATTATATTTAGGAAGTCGATTTATGTAAAGCATTTTTTGCGCAAAACGTACAAAAACATTAAAACTAATTGGCTTATATAAACAAACGTAAAATTATTGCATTTTAATGTGTGTTTAAAAATGAAATTTATCGGTGGCGGAAATATCTTTTAAATATTGTAGTTTACATAATGAAACATATTGCAATACTACATAGAGGAGTTTGTTTTCAGCAATAAGTCTGGTAAAACTACAGAGCTTTTGTCATTACAAAAAATACCTAAATAATAGTATTATAGCAACTATGTTTTTAACCCATTATTAGTGTGTTGTGTGTGCAGTGCTGGTGCCTTGTGTAAGCACGTTAGTGCTGGGAAGCTGGCTGCAGTCTCAGAAATAATATTGTTTTCTACTAAATTTCTCTTGGTTGTAAGGATATTCGTATTTCCAACTCAGGAAATAGCAGCAATTTTCCCAATGGAATTCAAATCTTTTCCCACAAACAACTACACAGTATCTGTTTTAAAGAGTACTACAAGGATTACGAGACAATTTTCTATTCGTGTCGCAGGACAGTAAACTATTAAAATCATTTATAATCAATTTTTCGTGATCAGAGTTTGAAATTCTGAGATGTTCTAGATAATTTGTTAAGCTTGTGGGGCATAGCAATGGTAACTAAGAGGAGTTTGAACTATGAAATATTTGTAAGGGTGGCCAAGGCTTGCTATAAGCTGCTCATAGGCTTGACCAAAGTATTCTATAAACATGTCAACTAAGTAACAAGGAGTAACAGGAGGCTGCTTAAGGGACAAGTAATATGGCAAACATGTACTACATATGATTGTATGGATGAATTTAAAGACAGTGTAGGGAGAAAACATCCTTATATGTGCTTGGAAAGTTATTAAAGATATAAATAAATTGTTTCTCCAAGCACATTTTTCCTAGCATTTTTTTTTTAGAAACAATTACTGAAACAAACAATTCACATCTTTAATCCATACATGTTGATAAATTCATTGCCATCAATCAAATAATTAATATAAATGAAAAATAATTATTACAAAAAAATAACACAAAAGGTAGGTTTTCACCATTTATAGCATGGACATGTTTAAATAAGATAACCTTCTAGCCTCTCTGGTAACGTGGTATTATGTGGGGTATATTCAGTATTGTTGATCAATTTAACATTATAACATTTAACTTTAACCTCGTAAATAATGAAGACTTGATAACATATCTGCACTCCTATGCTTGACGCAGCCATAAGTCATGTGACTTAATAACCACTTATAAATGCAGATATATATTCTGTATTTACCTATTGAACAACGTACGTAGACCCAGTCAGACCTGTCTATCCAGTCGCCATTCATGATCCAGGCAAGCAGATTGGGTATAAGTAATCATGTCTTGTTCATTTGCAGACTTTTTCAAGCTAAAGCCAACCTAATTCCATCAATCCCCCCTAAAAGTGAGTTGACTTTTAGGGTGCTTGCTCATGTTGGATATTTTAAGCTCTCAAACTTCATAAGACCTTTGAGCTATCTTGAGTAAGAATCTCCTTTTCTCATGGTGGGCACCCTGAAGCAAAACTAACCGAGTAGTACTGGTGACAATCTTTTTAACACAGGGATCCCAAAGCTATGGGATTTGACCTTGCCAAGAACATCAAAGTCTCTTTTCCATTTGGGTTCTTGGTATTTTCTGTGAATTTTTTCTTTCGTTTTTCACCCTTAGTGATAAGGTGCCTGTTTTCTAAGGATGATGTTTGTGGTTTTGAGTGTCCAACATGTGCTTGACCCAATTCTAGTTAAAAACCCATTATTACGATAGCTGTATTCGTATGGGTAGAAGAAATTTGGGTCATTATCAGTGGTTATTCAGCCATATGACTTAAGGTTTTTCGCCTCAACGAATAGTTAAAGTAACTCATTAAGAAAAACTTGCTATTCAGTTACATAGCCATTAATAGATGAATAAAGCAACTGTTAAATAACTAAGTGATAATAAGATTACTGGTAGACAGAGAACCATGCAAAAATAGAGAACTGATAAACTTTGACAGACAGACAACAAATGTGAGGTGAAATAAGATGGACAGACAGACTTGCCAAGCAGTACAGAAGGAAGGGGTTAACAACTAACTAAACCAGATATAGATAAGTACAGAGCATCATTCCATTTCCTTGATCTATATGGCAACGAGTTGCTAATACCTACCAGTACTCACTATTTTCACATGTGATTGCAACATCCTCTGATCAGCACAATATTTATGTGCTGTTTTCCCCCTGGCTAACATCAAGGAGGATGTTCTCTGTACCCCCACCATATTTTATCCGAGTCAGGTTGAGTTTTCTGATACATGAAATATGTTGTACAATACATATTAAGCCGACACCCTCAGAAACTTGCCTCATGTCCACATTTAATAAAGGTTTGTTTTACAGTAAATATTACAATAACATTTTGAAAACCTTGCAACTATCTGTCCATTTAGTGAAAGGTGCTCCCGTAACACAGGTATCAAGGGTTGTGTAGGGGTAGTGCACTCACTTCTCATCTCTGGGGTCTCTGGTTCCATTCTCAGTTGACATTACATAACACCCTGAATTACAATTAAGTTTAATGTATAATGCTAGATGTAACCACACCCTGACTTAGATCAACCCGGAGTTTGTTCCAGGGTCCTATCTGTACGTTAGCCACACCCTGACTTTGATCAGCCTACAAATTGTTTTAGGGTTCTATCTATAAGTTAGCCGTGCCCTGACTTAGATCAGCCCAGAGGTTGTTCCAGGGTTCTATCTGTAAGTGAGCCACACCCTGACTTAGATCAACCCGGAGTTTGTTCCAGGGTTCTATCTGTACATTAGCCACACCCTGACTTTGATCAGCCTAGAAATTGTTTTAGGGTTCCATCTATAAGTTAGCTGTGCCCTGACTTAGACCAGCCCAAAGGTTGTTCCAGGGTTCTATCTGTAAGTTAGCCACACCCTGACTTTGATCAGCCTAGAAATTGTTTTAGGGTTCTATCTATAAGTTAGCCGTGCCCTGACTTAGATCAGCCCAGAGGTTGTTCCAGGGCTCTATTTGTAAGTTAGCCACACCCTAACTTTGATCAGCCTAGAAATTGTTTTAGGGTTCTATCTGCAAGTTAGCCATGTCCTGCCTTAGATCAGCCCAGAGGTTGTTCCATGGTTTTATCTGTGAGTTAGCCATGCCCTGACTTAGATCAGCCCAGAGGTTGTTTCATGGTTCGGTCTGTGAGGTAACCATGCCCCTGACTTTGATCAACCCAGGGGTTGTTACAGGGTTGAGTTAGCCATCTAGCAAATGCAAGCAAAATGTATAATTTTCACTGTATTCAATTTCATTCAATTTTTCTTCCAGAACCACTGTGATTCAGCAGCAATACAAAAGATTAAAGAGTCGATGCAAGAAGAAGCCAAACGGTTTGAACATAACGACAATAGAACACACGAAGACTCCAATGACTACTATTAATATACATTACTATAGTTGATTTAACAGATTCTCTCAAATATTGTATTATTATTAATATTATTATTATTGTACGCCTTAGATAGCTTTCTTTAAGAAGATTTTCATTCGCAGCTTTACTAATACTCGATAAACCATGGGATAGAAGCCATCAAGTTGTATAATATTTGTGTTACGTCGAGGTACCATTCCATTCCTTCCCAGGCCCAGCCACACCCTACTCATACAGTTTCCCACTCAATATAGACTTACCTACACACGTTTGGAATTATCTTGGATATTTGACTAAAAGCAAAATACAAAAAAAATACCTTGGATTAAAAGGTTTTTTTTGGTTTTTGCAGTTAGCCTCATTTTCTTTAGAATAATTCCAAAGGTATTTATACAATTCAGTCCCACATAATAATCCCCAGTCTAGAAAACCACCTCCATGATCACCGACATGCCCTTGAGGTATCTAGTTTCTTATATCTAAGCATCTTCAGAACGTTCTGGCTTAAGCGTAGTGGTTTCCTATTTCAGACCGCGTTTTATTTTCTGGAGTATACTTTTTTTTTGTTTTATTGACGGTTGCGAATGAGAAGACACAAGAATATGGATACACCTCAAACAAAAATGGTTTTTCTCGAGAGAAATGACACGTGATCTGAAATGGGAAAACATTACACCCAAGAATCCATTCCCTTCTTAAATCAACAACGAGGAGTCTAGATTACAGATACGTAGCTGTTTCTAAATGCTACAACATTTAAAGTATGACAAAGTTGACTTATATGAAGAAATTCAATCTGTTGAACTAAATTATGTACCTCTGAAGTGCTAGTTTTTAAAGAGATAGTGATAGCTATTTCCCCCCGCTTAAGTCAACTTGTCGTACTTGGAATTGTAGAACATGTATGTGAAGTAACACTATCACTATCACTAAGGGTTTAGGGGATCGGTCATTTATCGCCTTTGCGGGGAGGGGGTTGGGAGGGGTCGGAAAATATAGGAGGGGATCGCACAAAAATGAGAGACTAGAACCACTATTGAGGGGGCATCGTAAAAAAGTGCCTGTTTTTTCCTTGAGGGGGGGAGTCAGTTAATATTTATGATGTCGCAACAAAATCCTCCTAACCCTTGCCTCCCTGGCAACAAATAATGACCGGTTCCTTACGATTTCGTTAATGTGTAGAGTGCATACCATATAACCGTGAAAAAAGTAACTAACAAAATTGTACAAATGAGTGCAACGTTTTCTAGGTCTACTGAGGTTTACTGAATTTACTAATTTGTGCAATTTCTTACAAAGCTTTTCACGGTATTCTTGGTTTGCAATCAATCCCAAGAGAGCACAATAACAAAAGGGATGTCCGCCATGTTGGAAGATATAACAAAAGAATTCATTGAAAAAATCTTTTGTCAAATTCTTCCAACATGGCGGCTATGACGTCTATTGCAAACGAAGAATATGGTATTCACTCTGCTATATCACACCAGGCAGAAAAAGCTACTCTCACTAGATCTTGGTATTTAATTACGAGGATCCAAAACATCTCTTAACATTCAATCTAGACTTGAACGGCAAAGCAAAGCTCTCATTGTTGTATGTTGTAAGAATGTTGGGCTTACTTCCTAATGGCGAGAGAGCCTGTTCTATCGTTGTCATGTCAACATTGTACACTTGAAAAGAAGTTTAAACATTTTACTTGTAGACAACAGTTTTTCTAATGTCTGTCACTAGGCTTTAATAGGTGCTTCGATATGATTTAAATTTGAGCATTTTTAGAACCCGCGTTTTTGAAATAGAGTTATTGGACTCTTCATACGTTCCATCGCTTACGATTCGTTTTGTCGAACTCAAAGTATCGTACGCGATTTCGTTACGATTTCACTTAGTCGCGCAGAACACGTTTGGCTTCGTTTACATGGAACAGTTTGTCGTACGCAAGCATTGTTTAGTCTGTTATACTGTACGACATGTCGCAAACGACTTACGATGTGTCGCTACTAAACAGACGGAGGTCGGGTGCGATTACGATGCGACTTGTCTCGAAAGATCCGTTGAAGTTTTTCTTAGGTCTTGAGTAGCTAGAAGAAGGTTTTGTACATTAGTCTGACTATATTTTACTTCGAACGTCGAACTTCACATGAGCCGAACCTAGTATCGAAACGATGGATACCAAGGCGGTCGTATTTAATGTCATTAGGTTCGGCTCATGTGAAGTTCGACGTTCGACCTAACTCAAACCTACAGCATTATTGATACTTATAGTCAGTTTAGTACCTAAGAAATTCCGTCCACGCCGCGGTAGAGATCTATTCTTGTTACAATAGCATTTTACTTACACCCGACCTCGGCTCACCTCCCGGCTCTCAGTAAAGCTTTACTAATGTTTTATATCTCAACGAATAATCTCAGAAGAATGTTTATTTTGCTGAGTTTATTTATTTCTCGAACGTAGATCTCGTGATGAAGCGTTTAACTAAAGTAACCAACACCTTCACGTTTCTGTTGTTTTGCTTTAAAAAATGCTGCCTCGTAACGAGGGGACTTAAAATTTGCTACATTTATGAAGGCTACATTAACCGGAAGTGTAAATAATTTCTCTTTGGGGTTCTGTTCATGGGAGATTTCATTCAAAACATTGTAAAGTCAACTCATCCACGGGAAAGACAGACATTGAAGACGCCCGGACCATTAAGTGAAGTTATTTACACTTCAGGTAGACGTCGCCATCGTAGATTTTGTAAATATTGAGGTAGCAAATGAAGGGAAAAAGATGGCGCAATCGAGTACTTAAGCTATCGTGGTTCGATTTTCGTTTAATTTTGCTGTACAAACCGATGCATTACTTTAATTTCTGCTAATTATTCTCATACTCAATTTAGGGCTTATCGCAGATACCTCGTGAAGTAAGTCGATAGGATTTTTTAAGGTACGGACAGTGAAATATCAAACGACGCGAATCTATTAGGATATCTTACTGTAAAAGAAAAAGAAAAGACACGAAATGTACGGCTTGTTCTAACGTATGTTATCAGAAAAGACGAGACGTTTCGTCAACAGCTTGTAACCATAGTATTATAAAAAATAAATGGTGTCTCGTCCTTATAGAATTATTGTCATTATCTCTTCTTAGCTATATCCTTTCCCATCCTATTGTCTGAAGCGAGAAACCATAAGTCCATAGTGTCAGATCCAGAACGATTTCAGGGGGTGACTGTTGGTACCTAGAAAGGCTTCACACAAGGTCATTTACTTAACGTTATACCTAAACCTTTCTTTTTAATTTTTTACTTCAAATCGGGTTTACTAAACCAATTCTCCCCTGGGTCTTCCCTTGGTGCACTTGTTAATTAACCTTTGGTTGTTTTGTTTTGTATTATTTTTCGTTTTGTTTGTGATTGTTTTTTGGTTTTGTTTGTTTTTTTGTT